ACCCTAACTCACCGAGTACAACTAGTGCCTCGCCGAGTTTCCTGGGATAACGTCTACTCGCCAGTCATCGAGGTGACTTGTCGAGTTCACACGATCTTGATTGATAATCTAAGATCATTCGTCGAGTTTCCTTGCTTGCTACTCGACACTACTACGAACATCCAATAGATAGGGAAATCTCACTCGACTCGCCGAGTTTTTCCTTCAACTCGTCGAGTTCTAGGTAATCTTCATCCGACTCGCCGAGTTGTTCATCCAACTCTTCGAGTCTAAGACAATATTCATCGAGCTCGCCGAGTCATTCATCCAACTGTTGGATTAATGTCTAAGTCCATAACTATAATTGGTAAGACTTGACCCGACCCGGCATGGTCCATTTGGGTTGCATACCATCATGCACTTGGATAGACTAAATGAGAGAAATAAGACACTTATGGTTATTAATATATTATAAGTTCTAGTATATTAATAATAAGAATAATGAGATTATTTAATTAGTATTGATCAAGAATTAATCTAGGATTAATTGAGTGATCAAAAGAAGACTAATTAAATATATGGGTTGATTGTGTAAATCATCCATACTTGTATAGTGGGTTAATGCTCCATGGATTATCTAGTTGGGCCAAAACCCATATGATGCTCCATGGATGCTCCATGGTGTATTTGAACCCATGGATCCAAGGAAATGGAAAGTCATGACAATTAGGGTTTACCCTAATTGTATAACTATATAAGCATCTTATTCTTGAGGAAAATTGGCCACTAGAGAGACTAGTATTATTCTTGAAGAGGGCTAGCCGATTTCATGAAGTGTAGAATTCTCTCTAAGTTATTCTAAGTGTTTTGATGATTGTGAACCATTTGAGGTGTCACACTTGGGGCACTAGGCACTCAAGCTTCATGAAGACAAGAACCATCAAAGAGGTATGTATTCTATCTTGTTATATTGATAGTTTTGTATGCTAGTTTAGGATAATACCTTGGATATTCATATTTGCATGTATAATAGAGAAAACATAGATCCAAGGTATTTAGGGTTGCAAGTACACTTAGGAGTGTTAGAATGCTCATAACCCAACACCAACTCGCTGAGTCCATGCCTGTCTTCATGTGACTCGCCGAGTCACCCCCTGCAACTCGTCGAGTCCTATCAGATCTTAGGCCATACAAACTCTTTTGAGCCATGCAATGCTTCCAAATTACATATCTAAGCTTCTGAGGCATGCTTTCCTCGTAAAGTTGTAAACTTTACGTGCATGCAAGGCTTTAAGGACCTAAAATAGCAAATCTAAGCTTGGAATGGAGTCATACACTAGAGGGGAGGCACAAGCTAGGCACAACTGATAACTTTATGCATCTAAAGACCAAAAGGAGTCCAGATCTGAAGTTACAACTTCAGATCTTGGCTTAAACACAAAATCCCTTTCTTAGAATCCATGCACAAGAGGGTTTTGGGTGGATATGAGCCAAGGAACAGCTTAATACCTTTAGAAAGTGCACCACAGAAGTAGATCTTGAATCCCCACGAGTCCTTTTCTTCCTCTAGCTTGCTTCCTCAAGTGTTTCCTTCACCAATTCCTCCTTCAAGCTTAAAATCACCAAGAAACACACTTACACTCAAATCAGGGTTTTTGGGAGGTAAAGAGTTGTAAAGGGGGGCTAGGGGAGGCTAATGACCCTTTAAATAGGGTGCAAGGCCCCGAAATCTATGGTTTCATCTACTCGTCGAGTACCATAATGGACTAGGCGAGTAGATCATTAAACTTCGCGGACAAACCCACTACTACTCGTCGAGTAGGGAGGCCAACTCGCCGAGTAGGTTCTCAAAAACCAACCCAAAATATCATTATCAATACCTGAGGATCAGGGTGTTACATGCTTTAAGTATAATTTATATTTATGTTTATAATCATTATTATGAACTTCGAAATAAGATCTATCGGTAATACCAGTCATTATACTAACCGATATACTTACGAGAATGATGACAAAGTAAGATTAGTAAGGTGTTTGAAATGTATTTTACAAACAATATATCTTTATATGTTAAACGAATCCTACCCTTGATATGATCTTACATGGTTGTTTCTGTGATTCAGATTCTTGTTCATCGATAGTTTTCTAACGTTTTTTATTACTGGTTTGTTTGTTGTCTTGATCACCAAATGAAATTTTTTGTTTTTTTTTTATTTTGGTATTAATCAAGTTATATTACTGAGTCAATAATGTTGTGATCAACATTGTTGAGGTTTGTGGAGCTCATTTTATAGGCCTGTAGAATAGTTATGTTTTCTATTCTTCCCTAAGTGTTTTGTAACATAGCCTTGTTTGGTTTGTTTTTTGTTGGTTATAAATTCTATGGTTTCTGGTTTAATCAAGTTTAATAATCCAATGGTTTGTTAATTTTTTCCTTAGGTTTACTAGATATGGTTTGTAATAAAGATGATTGTTTGATTATAGAATTTATAATTTTAGATTCATTTTTTTTTAACCTTGTAGCGTGCTTCCTGATTGTGAAGTTTCAGTCTTTTTTTGTTTTTTAGGATATTAGTCAATAATGTTTTCATATGGTTGTTGACTGATATGGTTCTATGTGAGATTAAATGTGGTGGATTTTTTTTATGTTCTTAATAATATAAGGGGAAAATGACATATATGCCCCATTAAGTTTCTAGGGTTTACCCATTTAGTCATTTAACTTATTTTGTGACTTTTTAAGGGAACGAACTTGTGGGCGACCTGTCTATTTAGTCCCCTAGACTTGTTTTAACCGGTTTCCTTGCCACATCATTCAAGTCAACATTCAAACTTGGACCTTAATTTCGCTGGTTAACTAACTTTGAAAGTCAACACATGCTTCAATTCAACTTGCTATTGTACCAGCTCCTTCGACACTGGCAAATACACCATATGCACACTTACCGACTCCACTAAATACAGTTTGATCACGATGCACATTAGCTTTTAGAATGCCATCTTCTTTAAGCTTAAGGTTTCTCTTGTTTTATATCCTTTAGATAATGGAATTTGAGAAATTCAAAAGGTGTAGACCCAGATGAGATATTGAAGAAAGCATGCTTAAAACGAAAATCAAATCTTTGAGTGGTGTTGAAGTTTGTAAAATTCAAAAGGTAAACGTGCTTGACTTACCTAAGCTAATGTCTGTTGTGAAATATAAAGAAAAAAAAAACAGAGTGAACCAAACCCAAACTAGAGGATTGATTTTGCAACATCATTCCACGTTATCAAATCATTTATCAGGAATCTGATTTGATCGACAGTGTACCTATAATCCTTATCTTTTCCTCTTGAAATAACAATACAATCAAGATGAGAAGTAAATCAATAGAACCCTAGATCAGAACTAGAAGTGAAGCAAGATAAATTTGTTTATTCTTACTTGGGAATGGAATGAAACAAATAGAAATCAATTTGTAGGGTTTCAAAGCACTCCATGGATGATGACAATGGGCCCCTTGATGAAGTGTAGGTTAAAATCCCAAGACTTGTCTTTCCCTATAAATAGTCATGTATTATTCATAATTAGGGTTAAGAGTGAGGCAAAATGTAGCCGCCACATGAGGTTTCTTATGTAGTGTTAGATTCTTTAGTCTATGCTGAAAGTGTAATTTATTCCTCATAATTCGAGTGATCATTCGACATATCTTCATATTTGTGTTTGTTCTTATTTTCCACATCTTGTTCATCAAATCTCAATTAGGGTTTTAATCCCAACAAAATTTCTACTTCTTTGATCTACCAATATGTCTCATTTTCTTTTGGTTGTTGTTAACAATGATGTACTCATCAACAACAACCAGATCTTTATCCTCTCGAATCTCTTCCATTCATCACATGTGTCTTTTAGTGTTTCTGGGTGAATCGATATTAGAAAATCGGTTGTTGTAGGGGTAACGAGACCCACATAGGTTGGTGACCTTCCGAGAGACATCGAGTCTGGTTTTTGATCTCTTGGCAGAGGAAGGCGAAAGGGTGAGGAGATCATGAAGGGAGAGAGGGGTTTTAGGTTTAGAACGAAGAGTGTTCTTGGGTTGCGGGGTCTGTGTGGTGGTGGTGAGTCCATTGATTTGGTTGAGTGGAAGAATTAAACGAAGGAGATGGTGTTGATAATGAGTTTTAATGTTGCAGGTATCTAATTGAGAAATAAAGAGGGGAAGAAGACGACAATGGGGTGTAGGGTATAGTTCCGTGGCATTAATAAATGTTGTGGCAAAATTGTGACCGGTTTACCCCTTCAATACTTCAAAAAGGAGGTAATCGGCCCGACAAAAACGAGTTCATTCCCTGATAAAGCCACAAAATAAGTTAAGTGGTTAAATGGGTAAACCCTATAAACTTAATAGGGCAATTGTGTCATTTTCCCTAATATAAAGGATTGAAAGTCATGTTTTTAAAAAAATACAAAGGTTGCGGTTTTGGTATTCAAGTGATACATGTTAGAAGTGTGAATCAAGTTACTCATGTTTTGAACGAGTCATTCGGAACATATCAGTATGAATCACATTGTGAAAGAATGTGTTTTGTTTTAGAATTGTTTTTCATGTTAGGATTGAAGGGAGAGAGAGAGAGAGAGAGAGAGAGAGAGAGAGAGAGAGAGAGAGAGAGAGAGAGAGAGAGAGAGAGAGAGATTGTTATTTCTTAATATTATTAAATCTTAACTTGAAAAGGAAAAAAAAACATGAAGTCTTGATCTAACTTGGCATGGTTAGTGCAAGTTTAAAGTGCAAAATATTATTGAAATAATGGTTGTTGAGTATTTGATCAGATATTGAAGGATTGTGATGCAATATACAAAAGATGGAGGTTATGGGAGCTAACTTGTGAATTTGATAGACAAGTTGAACAAGTCTAATAATCAGAGGAGCTATATCTAAATATTTAGAGTTAATTGATGCCGATGAGTTAGGGTTTAAAGATATAACCACACTCTTTGTCACAAAATATTATTCAGTTCAACTAATATACACATAAATCTTCTCTTCTCATATTTTTCTCTATGTATTGTTGTAATCTTTAAGGTTTTTATATGTTCGGTTGTTCTTAGTTTCAGATTAAGTGATTAGAAATTTAGAATAGTATTGAGAGCAGTGTAGGTGGTTTGTAGTGAGGATTTTTCTTGTAAAAGTATTTAAAAACAATCTGATTCTTTAATTCAATAAGAATTGACTATGTTGGGAATAAGCTATTGAGTTTCTTAGCAATACTTATGGGTTCGTATCAATTCTTCTCATTTTTCTGCACTCAAACCCCTAACTTGGGTGAGTTATCATCAGTCATCACAGGCACCTCAATTTGGTGGGACCAATGCACAAAAGAAAATTGAAAGCAGACACAAAAACAACATTAAGCATTAATCCACCACTCTCAACATAAATGTATGTAAATCACCTCAATTTATAAAGGGTTCTCTGGATATTGAAACATATTGAATGATGGGTTAACAATGCTAAATCCACCATCAATAAACAAATTATGTCCACTAATATACTTAGCCTCATCACTCGCCAAAAAAAGGGCAGCTTTAGCAACATCATCTGTTGTAAGTGTCACACCCTTAAGGTTTGCAACTGAGTTTACCTTGTTCTTGAAATCCTCCCCTTTAAGCCCAGTGAAACCTGTGGCTTGTGGTGTATCTAGTGCGTAAGGTGAAAGACAATTGACTCGAATACCAAATTGTCCAAGCTCAACTGCCAGATTCTTGGTTAAACCAGCTACAGCATGCTTTGAACAAGTGTAAGCATGTGGGCACAAGCCACCGATATTTGACACAACACTAGCTGTTGATATTATTGAGCCAGCTCTTGCTGGAACCATAACCCTAGCTGCATGTTTCATGCTTAGAAAGACACCTGTGACGTTGACACTAAGGACACGTTCAAAATCCGATTTTTCATTATCGATGATGTGATCCTTATTAGGATCCATTGTTCCTGCATTACAAAACATGATATCAAGTTTTCCGTATGTGGCGATTGCTATATCTACTGCTTTTCTGACATCTTCTTCGTTGGTTACATCACAATGGACATATATTGAGTTTGATGATCCTATGGACTCACAAACTGCTTGACCAAGTTGGTCTTGAATGTCTGCGATGACTACTTTCGCTCCGTGTTCAGCAAAGAGTTTCGCAGTACACTCCCCAATTCCGCTTGCTGCTCCAGTTATCAAGGCTACCTTCCCTTCTAACCTACAGATTATGTATTTTTTCTACTATAAATTATTCATTTACAATAATATTAATAATAATAAGATAACCGAAAAACTCAGTATTAATACTAGAGATGATAACCTTCTTGTAGTGGTTGTCATTGGCTTTAATTTGGAATATCAAAGGATTGTTGTATGGACAAATGAAAAGTAAAGAGCTATAGTTATACAATTAGAAGAATTCTTATGGCGCTACAGCCTCACATATGTACATCAGACCTTCAGTAAATGAACTCTTTTTTTTTTTTTTTTTTGTGTGTGTGTGGTTGTTATTTGCTTTAAAGAAGACAAGGGACATATATAGTTAGTGGCTACAAATGGATATGGGAGTAACGATAAAATTTAGCATGAGGATATGTGTGGCCTAACTTCACATATAGAAAAATCCAAGATTGTGTACGTCTAGGTTGAAGCGGTTACTGAGTAAAATAATAGCTGGTTAATCACAAAATAACCAAAACCAGAGTATAAAAAATCACTTTTTTAATTATTTAATCATTTATTATTTATTATTTATTATTTATTATTTTTTAATTAAAGAGCCTTTGATGGTGTTAGAAGTTGATGGATGTATGTACAACAACCAAATTAGGAGAAGAATATTAGAATAGTGTGTGTAAACTGGCCACAAATAATAGTAATAACAAGATTTTACGATGCATAACTACCCAGATTCAATACTTTCGAGAAGTGTCAAAAACTCATCAGGAGTGTCAAATACTCTCGAAACTTGGTTTTATAATGGGTCCTGAGTTTTCATACGTCCACTAAAAATTTTATATATTGATGTTAATATCCATTAATTTAATTAATAATAAATAATTAATAGAGAAAGAAAGATCCAATTTCCAAACTGGGTAGTGTGAGGGGCACACCCAAGAATTTTCTAAAAAGGGGACAAATATTTTTTTTATAATGATTTATGCAGACAAATATTTGTTTATAACCTTTTATGGGGTAAATACTTTTGAAGAGTCAAAACATATAATTTTGAAGGGTTAAAATATATTATATATATATATATATATATATATATATATATATATATATATATATATATATATATATATATATATTTTAAAAAACTTACTTTTTAATTTTTTTTTGTTGTGGGGGCAGCTGCCCCCACTCTAGGACCGCCACCGGGTACGGTGAAGACAATACTTTATACTCCGTTGATGCTTCTTCTTCTTCTTCACTCTCTACTCTGTAGACGCTGCTTCTTTGGTTCTTCCTCTCACTCTCAAATGCTCAAAGGGTAAGTGAACTTGAATACATCTCCTATTGCTTCTTCATCTCTCTCCAGCACCACTCATTGACCGAGAATTTCCATCGACATGCTTCAAAAATTGACGCTCTCATCCAGTTGTTAATCCAAAAATTGATCGGTGTATGTGGGTGTTCATATGCAATTCTTGTCACTATGTTCCAATCGAACAGTTTGTAGTTTTTCTTGTAAAAATTACTTTCTTTTTCACTATTATGCATATGGACTAAATCATTTGTTGTGGTTATTTTGCAATGGTAAGTTATTGATGTTATGAACCTTTGAAAGACACACTTTGCAATGGAAGGTTATAGTGTAATGTATCTTTGAACTTGCAAGATGGATGTGGATCAAATCATTTGTTTGTTTTGTCTATTTCTTTATTGTGTTTCTTGATTAAATCGTATGAACCAGTGCATACTTAAGTGTCATAAATCTTTATTTTGCAATCGTTGCATAACTCGTATAGTTCATAATTTAACATTGTTGGCCTATTTCAAAGTTTAATGATCGATTAGGAGGTATTAAGTGATTTTATAAGGGCAAAAGTTACTCATAAACTCGTTGAACTGTATTCCATATTTTCATATCAATTTTCTTTTTTGTTTTTCATCACACACCTTCTATTCCGCTGCTATTGTACTTTGTCCACAAGGGCAAATTCCTTAAGAAAGATGGATACAAGGTTATTAGAAGATGACACAGAAGATGATGATTAAGAGAGGGAAAATGATTGTAATTTGCAAAAAGAAAGGACGTGGATATTCTATTAATTGCATCAAGGAGAAGGAAATATCTAGTTTTCTTGGTGATACCAGATCATCGAATGACCGCACCTATCTGAGTGAAAGAAGATGAAACGGAGGTAATTTTATACCTTAGAGCATCCACAATACATAGTTCAATGAGAGAGTTAAATGACGTGGCATACCTAATTGACATTCAATAGATTAAACTCTACCATTGTGGGATGCCATGTTGGCATTCAATAGACATGGAGTTCAATGACCATTGAACTCTTTAATGGAAAAAATAAAATCTTTTTAATTATTAAATATATATTCCATTGAACTCTATTGAGTTCAATGCATTGTAGAAAAATTAATATATAGTTGTATAGTAAGTAAAATGATGATTTGTCAATCCATTCAACTCTAATAAGTTTAATGTATTATGGATGCCCTTAGGCTGACCTAAAAACTAATGCCTTTTAATATATTCCACCGTATCTTCTTACATCTTGTTGCTATTTTTTCATCCTACCTATTTAAGATGATGAAATATACAAATTTAACATGCCAATCAATTTTAAATTTAATTGAACAACACTTGTCACCATCTAAAATAGGTAGGAAGATAATAGGAACAAAAGTAGGAGGATATTTAATTTCTCTAATTCATATCACATCAAGCTCATGTTTGTGCTGGGAAGAACAATCGGAGAACACATGAAAACAGGCGATTTATGGACATGTGAGCGAGTGGTGATGTGGGTTTTTGTAGTTTTATGGTGAAAGAGATATTCATGGTATTTTAGTATAGGATTACATTAAAATTTGATTTTTTTAATCTTTGTTAAATGAAGAGCATAACAATTTCATTTAAAAAAAAATCATGGAAGTATCAATTCCCAGTGACTAATAAAAAATCTTGATCTTTTTATCCCATCACTTGACTATTTCAATCTTACTGAAAATTTACCACTAACGATGCTCGATTGGATGTAAGATGTTATCATATCGAAGGGATCTTTTAATAGAATTAATACATAAAAACTACTCATCAACTTTTTTGAACTGAAATATAATAAGGAAATCCATATGTGGATTTTAATTTTTTCTAATCGGTCCAAGCTTGTGTTCAAAAATACCTCTCGAATGTAAACAAAGGAAAAAAAAAGCAATGTTAAACATTCAATGCCAAATATGGCCGTTCTTGTCCATCATGTTGTCTATCTGACTTCTTTTTTTGTGTTTCTTTATCCACTCATTAGTTTCATCAATTTGTAATTTGTTACTATTGAACATAATTTATTTTTGCATCGATTCCCAAGGCATGCTCATGTAGCTTCAACATCTGATGCTCAAGCATGTGCAACATTCTTCATCAACATCTTCTAGTAATTAGGCTCATGGGAGGAACTTGAGGAGATTAAAAACCATTTAAAATTAGCATCAATTTTCAACTAGTTAGAAGACATTTTGAGAGTGAACGAGAAGGTTAAGCTTATGAGTAAATTATGAGAGGCGATGACATATCGTAATTTTTGTATAGATTAGGTTATGGTTTTACATTTTTATAGTGGTGTGACATAGTGTGATCCAATTAGGTGAAGTTGGGTGAAATCATAAAAGTATGAATTAAATGAGTGTTAGGTGGGGTTAAATTGTTGATGAAAAACCTTGGAAATTGATCCATATGCAGAACCAAAAATCAACCCAGATGTTGAAATCGCTCCAGATGTAGAAATTGATGAAGAAAAACCTCGAAACCTATGGTGAAAAACACACAATAATGAATACACACATGCAAATCTTGATTGATGTGTAAATTATTCAACAAAAACCTTGTAACGATGGGAGGTGGGTTTTTGAGAATCAAGTTGAAGATTTTTTTTGAAGGTTGGGGTTTTCTAGATCTCTAATCCATGTCGTCCCCGCTCATGACCACCGTGAATGTGCCTTCGTCCGGTAACCTTTATCAGCCGCCACTTTGGTTTTCAGTTTCTTACATCTGCCTTCATCAACAATTGCGCATGACCTTCTGTTGGGTTTTATTAAAAAATAGTCTAAAATAAATAGTTAAAACTATGAGTTTAGCAACGGAAGCAAATTTACATTTTAATAAACTAAAACCATTTTACGCACCGAGGATCATTTTGCAAAGCTATTAATGATTAAAACACAACCAAAGAAGGAGAATGTGTTACAACCTTCGAATACTTTGATTCCTCTTGTCAGGTTGGAAGTTGATGAAGAATGTAGAGCAAAGATCCTTCTTGTCTAGGACACCAACAATAGGTCAATGATAAAGGTGCTAGCCAAAATCTTATAGTAATATAAAACTCTTAAACTTTAACTTAGTACCAAGTATTAACTCAAATAAAGTATGAAAGCATCATCTTCATCATTATATGACACAACCCATTAAGCACTTCAGAGAAAGAAAGGGAGAATGAGAGAGTATCCACCGTTCTTCATAAGAAAGAAGTAAGCAGAAAAAACTAGCTCAAAGGCTCCATATATGTAGTTGGAATAAGTCTTTCAAGTCACCTCATGCCATACCCATTAAGTCTTACTTTTAAGAGGTAAGTTTTAGAGTACTTATGGCAAGAATGACAAGAAACAAGCAATAACCTCCACCTTGTGGAGGTGCCCTCAGTTTTGAGTTAGAAAGAAGGGAAATAGTTCCTAACGCTCTTCTAAATCATACAAAACATATCTCAAGCTTTATAAAAACTAAACTACTTTAGGTTATGTAAAAACTAATGAGTTATACTTTAATTTTATTAAAAGATTATATAAGAAATATAATATTTATTAAGAATAATCCTTATATATATATATATATATATATATATATATATATATAATATTTATCAAGAATTAGGTTCTTACAAATAATATATTATCATCAAGTTATTGTTAGGGTGACCTTTTAACATCATATGTTACCTAGAAAATATCATTCTATAATGTTTCTTGGGCATAAAGATCTTTCAATCTCCCACTTGCACAAGAGCCTTTGTAGATTGACATAGACAGTGGTGAACGTATAACAATATTTCACTATCCCTAGTAATATGTGATTTTTGTGCAACTCTATCAAAATCTAATTTCCAGAAGCTCAAAGCTGCAATTGATGTATAAGGTAAGTTTATTAGTTATCCATTTGTTATAGACATCTTGTTGAAATGAGACTTGGATCGCAATCAATCTGATTTTATGTTCAACTTTGGGTAATATGCATTAGGTTTCTAGCTCCTAACACATAA